AGGAGAGAGGAGGTGGGGGCAGAACTGGGAGGAGTAGAGGGAGGGAAACTATAGCCAGGATATATTTATATTCAATAAAAGGAAAATAGTATTCCCAGCAGCTTGCAGTACACCAATATAAAGGGTTCCTTGTGAATATGCAGGAGGTTGATGGCTTCATTTCCAAGTTATAAGGGAACATTACCAAAACATAAATGCAATGCCACAGCCCGGCATTTGCCTACTCACTGTATTTCGGAGGAGGATCTCTATATTTTATACATACTTCATTATGATTTGAGGGATTTAATCTGTTCTTTCAAATTAAAAAAGTGGAAGAGACTAAGAACTTTGCATGATTTAGGCAAGATGTACCTAGAACCTGGATACCAGCTTATAGTGTAAGTCTGGGATTAGGTAAGCCTTGATAGAGGCCATAAACCACCCCATGCAGTCACTGTCCAGGGTCTGGGACTAGGCAAGCCCTGGGAGGGTTCATAAATGACCCCACGCAGTCACTGTCCAGGGAAGAACTGTGTCTAGAAATTGCAAAGATGTTTTGCTTGGTAGTTGGGACAAGGCCATTAAATGTGGCTGAGGTGTTGGGGCTTAGAGGCAGGACACTGGTTTATATGACCCTACCCTGGGAGTTGAGTGTGGCCTTCAGCTAGCAACAGTGGTGAATAGCTATGTACTGACATAGAGAGCCATTACTTGTGTAGTACTTTTGATCAGGTGTTAACAGAAAGAATACAGAGATGCTGTTTTTGTGATAAATTTAGAAGTTTTCAGTGAACTCCACCATGAACAGGTGCTTAAAGAAGGCATAAAGAAACAGTGGGATAGCTCACACCTGTAACTTCAGTACAGTGAAGGTTATGGCAGGAGAATTGTAGGCTGAGGACAGCCTGGGCTACATAGTGAAAGTCTGCCTCAAAAGGGGAGGAGAAAGTTGTTAGGAGATATTTAAAGTAGCTTGAAGAATCGGGCTTCATTAACTCCTTTCTGGAAGATTCCGATTTTCCAACATGATGAAGTTCCTCCAAATTCTTACTGTTACTTAGTTTTAGGTTCAGAGTAGGCAGGAAGCTGGTTTGAAATGGAAGGCAGGGGCAGAGTGGGCATAGATTTCCAGTTCATACGTGGGAAGATGGAGAAGATGTGTCCATCATTCAGAGTCTATAGGTCTGATGGTACCTCCCTCCCTATGTGCAAGGAGCAAGCATCTCAAAGGTCATGGTTTCTTACCAAAGCAACAGAAGTAACTAAGACAGGGAGCTTTATTTCATTTTTAAAATAAATGTATTTTATTTCTATTATTTTAAAAAAAGATTTAGTTTTGTTTTTGGTGCATGGGTGTTTTGCCTGCATGTATGTCTGAGTACTGTGTGCATTCAGTGTCCACAGAGGCCAGAAGAGGGCACTGGATCCCCTGGAACTGGAGTTACAGATGGTTGTGAGCTGTCATGTAAGTGTTTGGAACTGAACCTTGGTCCTCAGAAAGAGCAGCAGTGGCTCCTAACCACTGAGCAATCTCTTAAGCATCTTCAATTGATTTTTAAATGATACATAACAGCATAAAGTTATGCATAATTATGGAGCAGCATGTGTATACACTTTTGGATGTTACATCACAGTAAACGTTGTCCTGAAAAGTTGTTTCTTTATGAGAACAACACTCGAAAACCCTTTCTTTTGGTATTATTTGAGACACACAATGTGTTATCTGTCCTCAGCTTACAGCTGTTAACGGCACACCAGTACTTCTCACCGTGCTGTTCTCCAGAACCATCCTGCAACTGCACACTGGCTCTTCCCTTTGGGGACAGCTTCCCTTGCTGTGCTGTAATCCCATTTGTCTAATTGCTTTCCTTTCCTGTGTCTGGGGGTGGGGGGCTGGTGTTGTCCAACAATGCCTTGTGCATCTCAAGGTCTAGAACTGTTGCCCTATGTTTTCTTATAGTAGTTTAGTAGTTTTAGTCCTGATATTGAAGACTTCAGTGTGCTTAGAGTTTATTTTCATAACTGGCTCAAGAGAAGGGGCAGTGTAGCTTTATTTTTTTCCCTGTGGGTAAAATAACTTACTTGACATTTAACTCCCTAGGATCATCAGTTGAAAGGACCCTCCTTTCTCAGCCACCTCTTAGCATGCTCACTGCATGTGCTTTTGTTTTTCTGGGTGCTCTGTTTGGATCTGTGGGTCTGTGGGTCTGGTTTTTTTTTTTTTTCTGCCAAACCATACTGCTGTGTTACTTGGACTCAGTAGTGGATTTTGGAGTATAATGGCTCCTGTTTTACACTTTTTGTTCAGGACTACTTTGTCTACTTACGTTTTTTCTGAGTTTCATACAGATGTGAAGGCTATTTTTAACTGTGAGGAATATTATAGGAATTATGCAAGATTGCATTGAATCTGTAGATCTCTGTGTAGTATGTAGATATTTAAAAATTAAAAAATATTTAACATAATTTCTTTATTCATTCTTGGGAATTTCACATTGTGCACCCGATTTGTATCTACTTATCTGCTTCTTACTCCTGCAGTGTCCCCCACAAATGAAAATAAAAAAATTCAAACCAAACCAAGCCAAAACAAAAATAAAACCAAAAACAAACAACAATCCCCTCTTCACTCCTCTGTCTTTCCCGACTCTCCAACACTTCTGCATTCCTCCTAGTAACTTTGGGAGCTGTGGTATGTACACAATATACCTTTTTGTGTAATCAGCTTTACTTGCAAATGTTCATCAAAATGACTGATTTCAAGGCCTCTGGATTCTGGTACAGCATCATCGATGGATCCTCACCTAAACTTGTCTCAGATAGCCTGAAGCCACCCGAGTCATGGAGATCCTGTGGGTATCTTTCCACAGGACCAGTCCCTTCACGAGCTCCAGCAGGTCCCAGATGAGGTAGATGTTAAGGTAGGCCAACCCAAGGCCCAGCTGTGGGCTGGGGTGGTTGTGGGCCTGGGTGATAGTTGAACTGGTTAATCCAGGCCACTGGGGCCACCCTGCCTCAGGCGAGGAGCAGAACCAGCTCCATTGGGTCCATGCCATCAGGGTCACTTCTCCCTAGCCTGAGGTGAGGGTGGGACCATTTCTCCCATGTGCAGTGTGGGGGGAAGGGGAACAGCTCTCCTGTGAAGGTCTGGGCCAGCTCTCTTGCTGCAGTGTCCATTGAGGGGCAGGGCCAGCTTTCCCAGGGCCAGCAAAGGGTGGGACTGGTTCAGTGTGGCCCTCTGGTTTCATCATCCATGACTCTTATGGGCCCCTGTGGGTAGTATAGACATTTAAACAATATTCTTCTAATTCCTGAATTCATGAACAAAGAATGTTTTCATTGTTTGCATATGTTTAAATATGCATATATTTGAGACGTGATCTTATCATGATCAAGTTATATAGAACTTGCTATGTGAGCAGTCTGGCCCTGAATTCACATAGGTTGGCCCTCCTTGGCCACCAAGGTGCTTGGATTAAAGAAGAACACCACTATACTCTGCAATATTTTATAGTTTTTATTGTAGAGATCTTTAACCTTTGGTTAAATTTGTTCCTACTTATTAACTCATCTGTGAGATCAATCTCTCAGTGATTGTGAGATTGCTTCCTTCATTTCCATACCAGACAACTTGCTATTGTCATATAAGCACACTATGGATTATTGTGTGTTGGTTTTGTGACCTAAAAGTCTGCTCAGTTGTTTATCAGTTCCAGCAGCTTCTCTGGTGGGAATTCTGATTCTTGTGGACAATACACAGAGCTTCATGTATGATCCATACAGTGTGGGAAAGATCCAGTGGGTGAGGAAGGAAATGTGGGTCCAGACATAGAGACAGCTGTGCCAGTGGAGCAGCTTGGTGTGCCTTCATCTGCAGAATGTGCTATTGGATGGTTCAGATCAGCCTGACAGCTGTAAAAGGGAGGCCGGTGCTGCATGGCACTGGGTCAGGTGGGAATCATTTTGAGGGCATGGTCAGGTGAGAAGCCTAACACAAGATTGTTGCTGAGTCAGTCAAAGGCAAGAAAGTAGAAAAGCGTTGTGTGGTTGATTCTTCTAAATCACAATAATGCAGAATACAAGTTAGTGATGAAATACCTCAGATCTTGTAATTAAGGTAACAGGACACAGCGGATACTACAAAAAGGAAAAAGAAGAAAAACAAAACATTGGTGAATTTCAGAAGCAATGTATGCTTTGGATTCAAATTCTCACATTTTAGATCTATAAGCTAGAGTCTCTTTCCTTGAGACTGGGCAAAAAATTGGCCAGATTAACAAACTCCGAGCAAACTGAACAAAATAACATGCAGTTCTCAGGCTAATAAAGCAGGTGAGGAGTTCTAAACTGTGAGAAATGCTGATGTCATTTATGGTTAGTTTCTACTGGGGAGTCAGAATTAGGAATCTTATAGACAGTCCCCACACAGAAATAAAACAGTGGCAATGACAAAAATGGCCTCTTTGTAAAATGGGCTCAGTATTTCTTTTCATATTCTGTCTCCACTGGGGGGGAGTAGAGGATAGACATGAGCTAAGGTGAGCATAGGGAAGTCAGAGGACAGCCTTTGTAAAATGGGCTCAGTATTTCTTTTCATATTCTGTCTCCACTGGGGAGGAGTAGAGGATAGACATGAGCTAAGGTGTGCATAGGGAAGTCAGAGGACAGCCTTGTGGGGTCAGTTCCCTCCTTCCATCTTTAACTGGGTACTGAGGATTAGATGCTCCTCGTGTGACATGTGCTTTTGCCTGCAGAGCCATTTCTCAGCTCCATAAACTGTGTTCCTAAGCTTGGACCACATCTCTATGGGATGGCGTCTTTAGTTGTGTGTTGTCTAAAAAATAATGCTAAAGATATTTACTACCTTAATACTTTCAGGATCACATATCTTATTAGTCAGCAATAAAGCAAGATTCGGAGGGCAAGGGAGGCTTTGAGTTCCTGAGTGATCCTTTGTGCAGCATCTGTAGCAGTGACAGCCCTCTGTCCCTACACCCACACCAGATTGAAAATGACTTTTACCATTGCCCATTTTTCATTAGCTGAATTGCTTCATTGACCTTATCGAGAGTCAGGGTGTGGGTAATCAGTGGATCTAGATTAAACTTCTTCATCATACAGTCTGAAACCAGCTTAGGGATTTCATCCTTGGTTTTCCAGCCTGGGAATACACAAAAGAACACAGATTTATGAATGATTCTACGCATGAGGTTTCAGTATAAAAGAAAGGCCACATGGGGATGGGGTGTGGATTTGACAATACCATAAACACGTATTTGAAATTCTCAAATCATAAAAAAGAGATTAAGGAAAAAGGGAAGGAAGGAAAGTAGAAGAATGGCAGGAAGAAAGAAAGGCCATGTTAAACTGCTGGTTGTTTTGCTGCCCCATCAATTTGTCCCATCAGGACGAGTGCTCTTCCAACCACATAGGCCACATACAGGGTTGTGCTCTTCCAGAGGACCTCTGTGCCTTCGACATAGAGGACATAATCAAAGCAAATAGAAAATAAATCACATCTTGAAATGTTCCTGGTGTTAGGTTCTAATCTCTGTAGACTAGTGAATTCGAACCAAATGTATAATAAAGGCCACAGTCTTGGGATGCATAAATGAATTGAAAAGTTAGAAATAGGGGTTGGGGAAGTAGTTCAGTTGGGAGAACACATGATTATGTGCAGGAGGCTCTGCTTTTCATTTTTAGCACTGCATTCTCTAAAAACAAAGAATTCTCTCTCTCTCTCTCTCTCTCACTGTGTGTGTGTGTGTGCACGTGCATTAATGTGTTTTGACATGCAGCTTCATAAACAAGTCAAATGATATACAGTAAGAGAAGAACATCATGGCAGCAATCCCAGAGCAGCAGAAATTAATTTGTATGAATTGCTAAAATGTGCCCTCTGAGAGTAAAGATGACAAAAGAAAGATGGGGTCAACTAAAGCAACATAAGCCTCACATTGCAGTTTCTCTATTCTCACAGGCTTGCAAGAGTGTATATATTTCACACTGTGCTAAGTACCTTGGTCAGTGAGTCACAACCAGAGTTTTCTGGCCTCCTGTATGGAAGAGGCAAGCATGGAGTAGCTGCAGGGTGTGATCTGTATCCTGCCTAGTGCCCTCTGCTCATAACTTTGTGATGGGATTTTGCTAGCTGCTTGATTTTCCCTAAAGAAAAAAAAAGATATGACTAGAGGTGGCTCAGTAGTTAAGAATCCTGGATGCTCTTCCAGAGGACATGGGGGGCCATTCCTTATACCCACATGACAGTTTACAACTGTTTATAACTAGTTCCAGGATATCTGACACCCTCTTCTGGCCTCCATGGGCACATGGCATATATGTGGTGTAGACAAATATGCCAGCAAAACACCCACACACATAATAATAATAATTAAAGATGTGCTCAATAGCACAACCTATCTTATAAAAGAGAAAAAAAAGATTATTTTCATTATTATTTGTGTGTGTGTGTGTGTGTGTGTGTGTGTGTGTGTGTGTGTGTGTGTGTGCTCATGCAGGTGCCATAGGAGGCCACAGATACTGGATGTCCTGAAGCTAGTGTTGTATCATGTGGATGCTAGGAACTCGAGTCCTTTGCAAAACATACATGTTTAGATCTGCTGAGCCATCTTTGCAATCCACGCGCTTGCTTTTCTTCATTGGAACTAATGTTGGGTTCTCTAGCCTTTCTACCTATTCTTAAAACTGCCCAACCTCTTCCAGCTGATCTATTTTAGAAGTTAATTATCCTATATGTAACCACAAATTCTAACTATTGTTATTTGTTGCATCCTATGAGTCTTGTTTATTTTTGTTTTTATTGGTGATCTAATGAAGTATTTTTTGTGTGTATGTCAAAATACTTATTGCAATTTATTATTTCAGTGGGAGACCATTAAAAAGCTGTACCCCAGCTAAATGATATAAATGTCCAGTGGGATTTCTTCAGGTGTATGCTCAACTATTAGTAGTCATTGTCAAAGAAGTATAATATCTTATCCCAGACCAATGAGTTTTCAACTTGAAAGTATGAAAAATGATGGATTCATAATTTTCAAGGAATACTACCAAAGGGGGTGCTTTAGTAACAAGCAAATATAAATTCTTTTATCCAGAGAAATAAATCACTTCATGGAGTCCTTCACTTTCCGTTATTTAAAATATAAAGACTTAAGAAGACTTACAGCTGGGGTACAGCTATTGGTTTCTATACTGTTGAAGTTTGGGTAGTTTTGATGTCTTTTCTTAGGCACCTCTGAGCCATTTTTCTATTTTTTCCTTCTAGCTCCTCATTTTTAGTATTTAGTTTCTTCTGTACATACCTCCCAAAACTGACCCTTTCAGAATACGTCCTGAGAAGAACAACTGGCTACTGATGTTGATTTGAACCCAAGATGCAATTGATCCAACAATCACGCAAACCCCATGGTCCTTGTGGCAGGAGGCCAGGGCAGTTGCCTGTTGTAAAGCAATGTAAGAGAAAAAAAGATAAAACCACCTACTTCAGAGTTTGACCCACTCTTAATTCAGCTTGACTGCTCCATGATCTATGGCTTCCTTTCTGATTTCCCCTGTCCTTTTTGAAATAACATCAATATTATGAAGATGTTCTACAGCATAGGTAAGATATTGTTTCTCCCTAGAATAGTACTTGTTATTTTAGGATTCAACAAATTGAGTAAAGGTGAAGACCATTGTAGACCATTGTGGTAATAAAAATAGAATTAGTTTTTATAAGGACTGTGAAGTGGGCTGTTGGTTTGAGTTGATGTTTTTCTTTTAGATATCAAAATGGACAGTCAGATGTTTGTAAATTATGACATGCTAACAAAGTGACCACTGCCATCTTCCCACTAGTCATTTTCAAAGGCTATTTCTCAGAACAAGACTGGGATAAAAGCTCTGCTGTCTATAAGAAATTTTGAATTCTTGGAAAAAGACCCAGGTTGGAAGAGACTCCTCTTGGCTTTCTCTGTAACTTCCTGGAAGATGGATCCATGCAGCAATAATGCAATAATGCATCATTCCTTCAAAGAAAGCTCTCCTCAGAGTCTGGTGTGACTGCCTTCCATGTTTATCTCCATATGTTAACCATGGTCAGGCAGAAAAACCACCACTCTTTTTCTTCATTTTTTGGAAATGACCCATTTAATAAAATGAGGAAATGTTTTTCTTGGTTCAGAAGCTCACATCTTAACATGAAAGATTTTTAACTTTTCTTTTTTAAGATTTTATTTATTTATTATATCTTCTGCCTGTGTGCCAACAGAGGGCACCAGATCTCATTCAAGGCGGTTGTGAGCCACCATGTGGTTTCTGGGAATTGAACTCAGGACCTCTGGAAGAACAGTCAGTGCTCTTAACCACTGAGCCATCTCTCCAGCCCGAAAGATTTTACTGAAAGTAAAAATCTCATTGTTTTATAGGACAATTTAGTGGAGCCTTATCTCACTGATGTTTTCTGGCTTGAAAATCATAGTCATCACAGGCTACCTGTGGTTATGTAATTTCTGATTGGAGGTTCTTTATGCTTAATTGAAGGAAAAGTATTTTGGAACAGAGAGGTAAACAAACTCAATAGCAGACTTGTAGATTCAGTTGAGAAATAAATGGACAGAATGTTCTACTGGGTATGTAGTGAACCACAAGGAAAATTAAATAGAAGGAATTGTAAGATGTTCATTCAATTAAAATATTAAACAACAGATGGTATAATATACTGTCAATTTTTACTTCCAAAGATCACGTACCACTGTTTCTGGGTTTCCAGTGACCTCAAAGCAGAAGTCTGCTCCACCATTCAGCATATCAAATAAAACTTTCTGAATGGGTTTCTCAAAGTCTCGTGGGTCTATGCACTCAGTTGCACCCACTGTCTTGGCCTTTGCAAACTTGTCTTTGTTGATGTCCACAGCAATGATCCTGGCTGCTCCTGCTGCTTTACAACCAATGATGACAGACAGGCCAACACCTCCAAGGCCAAACACAGCACAGGTGGAGCCAGGAGTCACCTGGACACAAAGGCAAAGGAAACATGAACAGTAACTTTCCCTTCTATGGTAGAGAGCAATGCCAAGTCTCATGCTAGCAAGAAAGCCTCTACCAATGAGCTGTTCCACAGCCCTCTGTGTCCTCATTAGCTTGAGGAGGCCAAGACAGTTGCTTTTCATGAGACAGAAGGACAGGACATTTTCAAGTAAAATACTTGTAGAGAATTTTAGTTTCTCAGGCTGTTTCTAGGTTTAACCACAGGAACAAAAACCTACCTACAAGGACAGAGTTTCAAATCCCAGTAAGGAATTAGCATGAATGGAAGTAATGTAATGAAATTTCACTGAATGTTAAGATTCATTTGGACAAAATATTTCTTTAGTTCTAGACAGTTTTTAATTTTTTCAAATACCTCCATCTTCTTGCAGACTTCCCTTTCTCTTTCTTCGGGGTCTCTGGAAACTCCAAGTCATTTCAGCATGTAGTGTGACACCATTTTAAATTGAACCCCTTCCAACCTGATATAGTTTGCATCTTGAATTGAACATGCTTTAAAGACACATGTGACAAAGGTCTACTCCTCAGCCCTTGATATCGTAAGTAAGTAGCAGAAGGGGCCCAGTGGAGGGAAAACATCATGGGCGTATCTGTGCCTTAAGGGGATTTTAGGACACCAGCTCTCCTTTCTTTTTGTCTCCCATTCATAATCTTTCTGATCCTGGGTACCATGAAGAGATAAGTTTTGTTCCACTCTGAATTCCCTGACCTGACTTACTGCCCCAAGGGAGCCCCCAAGACCACCTCACAGACCAAAATCTGAGGTAGTGAGCCAAAACAAACCTTCCTTCTTTGAAATGTGATTATTATGGGTATCTTGTCACAGTAACACAAAGCTGACTAAGACACATCCCATCTCTGTGTGTAACTCTGAGACTAAAGAACAGTGGACAATGCAAAGACTTAAATATCAAAAGCCCCTTAAAGAATTGAGATGGGCCAGGCATTGGTGGCGCACACCTTTAATCCTAGCACTCAGGAGGCAGAGGTAGGCAGATCTCTGTGAGTTCGAGGCCAGACTGGTCTACAGAGTGAGTGCCAGAATAGGCTCCAAAGCCACAGAGAAACCCTGTCTCGAAAAACAAAAGCAAAACAAAAACAAAAGAATTGAGATGGGATGGTTAGCGTGATATTCCAAGAGAAGTTTAACTAAAGACTGATGGGGGAAGTCCTTTTGTGTTTCTCTTATTGGTTGATGAATCAAACACTGTGGCCAATAGAGGTAGGGATAGGTGGGACTAGGGGATGAAGAGAATTCTGGGAAGTGTAGGCAGAGAGCAGATGCCATGAGAGACCAGGAAGGTAGGACATGCCAGACCCTTCTTCGGTAAGATAAGACCACAAGTAAATACTTAGATTAATATAAATGGGTTAATAATTATGACAGAACTAGTCAATAAGAAGTCCTAGTCATCAGCCAACAGTTTCATAATTAATATAGCATCTGTGTGTTTCTTTGGGACCCAAGGGTGGCGGGGCCTGCTAGGCCAAGAATCTCCCATTAAAGTAGCCCATTCAGAATGAAATTCCCTGGTCAGTGTAATCACTTCTCTATTGGTTCTCTTATACTATTAAAATTTTACATGGAGTAGTGGTTTGAACGAAAATGACTCCCAAAGGAAGTGGCACTATTAGGAGGTATGGCCTTGTTGGAGGAAGTGTGTCACTGTCGGGGGTGGGCTACGAGGCTTTGAGGTTTCACATATGCTCCTGCCATGCCCAGTGAGACAGACTATTTCCTGTTGCTTTTGGGTGTAGATATAAGAACTCTCAGCTTCTTCTTCAGCACCATGTCTTCCTGCATGCTGACTTGCTTCCCACCATGATGATAATGGACCTAACCTGTTAAACTATAAGCAAACCATCCCAATTAAATATTTCCTTTATAAGAGTTGCCTTGGGGGCTGGAAAGATGGCTCAGCCATTAAAAGCTAGGCTCACAACCAAAAATATAAGAGTTGCCTCGGTCATGGTGTCTCTTCACAGCAATAGAAACCATAACTAAGACATTTGGTATACTTAGATTGAATCCAGGGCCTTGTGCACACTAGGTAGGTATATGTTCTGTCCTTGAAGTACATCTTCAGTCTTTCCCCCTTTCTCTTTTAACATTTACTACTAAGTAATATACTATTAGAATGTAAACTTGATGAGCTTTTAGCAGCAGGTTAGTGAAAACTTTTACCAGTGCTTGTTAAACTAAACAAACTGGAATATGGAAAGATATAGTCATATTATAATTGTGGTATATTTAAAGTCGGTATACCTATAATCATAGATGGCAGGGGGTACATGGGGAGGCAATCAAATAATCTAATAAACTTAGCAGTGCTTAGAGGTAAGTTTGTTTGCTTTTTCAGGTGGATGACCCAATGTGAGAGGTGTTTCGCCTCCTTATCCCACTAGTTCTATTTAAATGGGTGTCAATGGCCCTCACCTTGGCAGAGTTGATTGCAGCCCCGAAGCCAGTGGCAAACCCACAGCCGATTATGCACACCTTCTCCAGAAGGGCACCTTCATCAATCTTGGCGACTGAGATTTCCTTTATGACTATGTATTCAGAGAAGGTGCCTGTAGCAATATATTGATATACTATCTTCCCTTTGCAGGTAATTCTGCTGTTGCCTTCAGATGTCTGATGTGTCCCTGACAGTCTTTATAGATGAAAGGAAACAAACTTTATGTTGTATTAAAAAACTTAAATTTCTCCAAGTGAAACTGAATTAGACATTCAAAAAGATAGTTATAAAGACTTACCTAACTTCCTTACAAATGTTGTTCTTGGAATTGAGGCAAGTGTTACATTCTCCACATTGTGGTAAGCATAAGATGATGACTTTATCACCTAAAAAGCAAAGTAATTTATTGGGGTGCTAGTGTTGAGAAGTCTGATTTCTTAGGATGTCCATAGCAAGGCACCAAAAAGATGTCATAATGAAGAGCTATTTCCATGTTTAATTGTGCTTGATCACAAATATATTTTCAGCACTCTGTCCAGCCCCAGGCCATGGCTGAATCTCTAGAATTTGGCCACAGATCAACCCACCTTGTAAGGTACTTTTGGAATACCTAGGCAAAAAGTTTTGTTGTGTGCTTTGTGGTGGTTTGAAAGAAAATGACCTACTTGATCACGGTATCTCCCCAGCCAGGTAAGTTGTTCCATACAATAGCAGCAGAAGGGACATTGCCAAGCTCTTTTTTATGAGGCTACAATTACCTTGGTACCTAAGCCACACAAAGACACAATGAAAAAAAAATAACAGACCAATATCCCTCATGAACATTGACACAAAAATATTCAATAAAATACTGGCAAATTGAATCCAAAAACACATCAGAGAAATCCCCATGATCAAGCTGGCGTTATCCCAGGAATGCAGGGATGGTTCAACATATGAAAATCCTTCAATGTAATCCACCATATAAACAAACTGAAAAAGAAAAACCACATGATCATCTCGATAGATGCTGAAAAAGCCTTTGACAAAATCCAACATCCCTTCATGATAAAGGTCTTGGAGAGATCAGGAATAACAGGACCATACCTAAACATGATAAAACCAATATACACCAAACCAACAGCCAACATCAAACTAAATGGAGAGAAACTCAAGGAGATTCCTCTAAAATCAGGAACAAGGCAAGGCTGTCCACTCTCTCTTCAATATTGTACTTGAAGTCCTAGCTAGAGCAATAAGAACAAAAGGAGATCAAGGGGATACAAACTGGAAAGGAAGAAGTCAAACTTTTTATTTGCAGATGATATGATAGTCCGCATAAGTGACCCAAAAAACTCTACCAGGGAACTCCTACAGCTGATAAACAACTTCAGCAATGTGGCAGGATACAAGATTAACTAAAAAAAAATCAGTAGACCTATTATATACAGAAGATAAATGTGCTGAGAAAGAAATCAGAGAAACATCACCCTTTACAATAGCAACTAACAACATAAAATATCTTGGGGTAACACTAACCAAAAATGAGAAAGACCTGTATAGTAAGAACTTTTGAGTCTTTAAAGAAAGAAATTAAAGGATATACCAGAAAATGGAAAGATCTCCCATGCTCTTGGATAGATAGGATCAACATAGTAAAAATGGCAATCTTGCCTAAAGTAATCTGCAGATTCAATGCAATTCCCATCAAAATCCCAACACAATTCTTCACAGAGCTTGAAAGAACAGTACTCAACTTCATATGGAAAAACAAAAAACCCAGGATAGTCAAAACAACTCTGAACAATAGAGAAACTTCCGGAGGCATCACCTTCCCTGACGTCAAGCTCTATTATAGAGCCATCGTCCTGAAAACCAGCTTGGTATTGGCACAAATACCAATGGAATTGAATAGAAAACCCTGATATTAACCCACACACCTATGAACACCTGATTTTTGACAAAGAAGCTAAATTTATACAATGGAAAAAAGAAAACATCTTCAACAAATGATGCTGGCATAATTGGATTCAATGTAGAAGATTGCAGATTGATCCATATCTATCGCCATGCACTAAACTTAAATCCAAATGGATTTAAACGATCTCAACATAAATTCAGCCTCACTGAATCTCCTAGAAGAGAAGGTAGGTGGCACCCTTGAACAAATTGGTGCAGGAGACCGCTTTCTGAACATAACACCAGTAGCTCAAACATTGAGATTGGCAATTAATAAATGGGGCCTCCTGAAACTGAGATGCTTCTGTAAGGCAAAGGACACAGTCAACAAGACAAAATGCCAGCCCACAGAATGGGAAAAGATATTCACCAACCCCACATCTGACAGAGGGATGATCACCAAAATATACAAAGAACTCAAGAAGCTAGCCTCTAAAACACCAAACAACGCTATTAAAAGATGGAGTGCAGAACTAAATAGACAATTCTCAATAGAGGAATCCAAAAATGGCTAAAAGACACTTGAGAAAGTGCTCAACTTCCTTAGCCACCAGGGAAATGCAACTCAAAACCACTCTTGGGATACCATCTTATTCCTGTCAGGATGACCTGAACAGAGAGTTCTCAGAAGTTAAAATTGCCAAGAAATAGCTAAAAGATTATTCAACAATCTTAGAAATGAGGAAAATGCAAATTAAAAACCACTTTGAGATTTCATCTTATCCTAGTCAGAATGCCTTAGAATCAAGAAAACAACTGGCAACAAATTTTGGTGAAGATGTCGGGAGAGGGGACCCCTTAGTGACTGTTGTTGGCATTGCAGACTGGAATCTACTCTGGATTTGTAGACATTCTTGAAGTTCGAACGCAGAATTTTATATATATATATTATCCCTCAAAATTTACTGTATGACTCAGCTAATCTTTTCTTTATCATAAGCCCAAGGACTCAATATTCTACTCCACTGATATTTGTTCAGCCATATTCATTGCCACTTATTGAAAACAGTGACAAGATGGAAACTGTCTATATGTTCTATAGGTGATGAAAGTATAATGAAGTCACCATCCTGATACTCAATGGCATTGTTTTCAGCTGCAAAGAAAATGAATTCATAAAATTTACAGGTCACTGGATGGAGCTGGAGAATATCCTGGGTAAGGTAACCCAGAGAGACAAATGCCATATGTTCTCTTATGCTTGTGAATTTATAGTTTGTATTTGAATATAAGTCCTGGAGTAACGTCAGAAGTCATGAAAGCAAAAGGAACCCTGGGCAAGGCAGAGAGGAGTTCTAGAGAGGAGGCCACAGGACAAAGATGCTATGAAGGAGGAAAGGGAAGAAACAGGAGTGAGGACTAAACTGGGGAGGGGAAAATAGGGTAATACAGAGGGAGAGTGAGGAAAGATAAATACACTAGGAATATTTGAAAAGCCACAGTGAAACAGTATTTCATAAACTTAAAAATAAACGTATAATAAATATGTATATATGCACATATATACATACATATATATGCATATACATACAAATGCATATCTATGTGAACAAGTATGCATATCTATACACACATCTGAACATGCATATATACAATTTATAATAACTATATACACATCTGTATATCTACATACACTTTCATATCTACACATTTATATGTACATATACACATATCTATATAAACACACACACACACACACACACACACACACACACACACACACTCGAGCACACATGAGTTTAAATGGAGTTTCCAAACATCAGGTGACAGTGCTCCCTCCAGTAGCCACAGACTATCAAACTCCCAATGCCAGTGAATGTATACCTCCCTTCAAGTTGTTGGTTCAGGGGATCCAAGAGACCCAACCATGTAATATGGGCCATTGTCCTCATGTTACTTACATAATTATTCAGTAGTGTACCCCAGTTTACTCATTTTTTTGTCATTTTTTCTCCTCGCTTGTGTCTTCATTAATCTAGATTTGGTGCATTGTACTTCAACATATAAATGTGAAGACGAAACCTCGTTACAACTGTCCTGTAATTTAGAGACAGTTATGATCCCCCCCCAGAAGTGAGCAGGGTCTCACATTTCTTTTTGTATGCTTTATTATGAAACATTTAAGGGACACCCTTCAATTGGTTTTCTGCTGTCGGTTCCAAAACTAGCCATTTCTCCATGCTCTTTGCTGCTTCTTACCGGCTTTCACTGTGCTTACTCCTTCTCCCACGCTCTCGACTATTCCAGTTCCCTCATGGCCCATAATGATGGGGCAAAACTGGGCAAGTTCTTCTGATTCCATACTTTTTATATCCGTACCACAGATTCCTGAGGCCACCATCTGTGTGGAAAGCAGAGAACTGAGGCATATCTGCCTTGAAGGAGCTCATATCTGTTGCTCTGGGAAGGTTTCCAGTGCTTTCGCTTCTGTTCAGCTCTCATCATTAACAACTGTCAACCATTATTTGTGTAAAGGACCAGTGTTCTTTAACTAATTTTCAAGATAAAATGCTGAGTCACAGTTTAATGGAGTCAGAAGAGAAGCTGGGAAGCACACTGTCTGTTCAGCTCTCATCATTAACAACTGTCAACCATTATTTGTGTAAAGGACCAGTGTTCTTTAACTAATTTTCAAGATAAAATGCTGAGTCACAGTTTAATGGAGTCAGAAGAGAAGCTGGGAAGCACACTGTGGGCATTACTGCTGCAGTAAAAAATATCATGGCCCAAACAACTTACAAAAGGAAGAGTTTATACTGGGCTGTGGCTCCAGAGGGAGATTCGAGTAATGGAGGTGGTGGGGGGAAGACATGGCAGCCCACAGTCAGAGCAGGAAACTGGGAAAAACACATCTTTAACCAAAAGACGAATCAGAGTGCATGCTAGATGTAAGGTAAGGCTATGAACTCCCAAAACCTGTCCCCAGTGTCTTCCTCTGGCAAGGCTGCCTCTCTTTGTAACCTTCACCAACAGCACTGTCAACTGAGTGCCAAGTATTCACATACTTGAGCCTAAGGCGGGAGTCCAGTTGAGATCACCTCAGTGCAATACTGAACATCCCGCCTGGCCCTTTCTTGAGGGTGGAGGTGTGGGAGAAGACAACTAATCATAGAATTAAAAGGTTGAGACATAAGACAGAAAAGAATAATGTTACCTATTTTAACTATAATCTTAGTTTATTTTGCAAAACGCACTTGAAAGTTGTGTTAACAATTCCACTTTCTTGTGAGTCACAACTGTCGTGTGTTTGTGACTCAGCTGTAGGAAGTGCATTTAAATCTCATGGATCTAGAACCGCACCAACCAAGCTGGTTTTGTGCTCATTGTTTTGTTCTGGTTCTGACACCGTAGCTGGCATTGTCCTGTTAATCTTCAGCAGACAGGTTTTTCCCATTTATTTATCATAATCACCCGGATAATAATGGCTAGCAGCACCACCCCCACTCAGCCCCTCCACCGCTTGCCATCACCTCCCTTCTCTATATTTTGACTCAAATGCACAGGTGAGAGAGTCACACTGTAGCTTGTCAGACAATGGTTGGGTGTCTTGAGTCTAAAACTAGTTGTATGAGTTGTAACCTTGGTGGAGTATACTCGGTAGGGATTGGTAAATACCGCCCTCCTCACTCAGTAGAGAATAGATACCAGAGAAGGTTCCTTGAGAAGAGGGCATGGTTTGTGTAGGTAAGGTAACTTAGAAATATCTCTCCATAGCCCATCCATAAATAATACATGCTCTTAATGGAACTAATCTAATGACCTTGAGCCACAAGTCAGATGAGCTGCATGCTAGCTCTCTGGGAGCCAGTTAGAGTCATCTGGGGATATGTGCCACCCAAGCCATCAGTCCATAACTTCAGAATCTCAGGAATGAGATGCAGTTAGTGTTTTCCAAACTCCTCAGTAATTCCAAGCGTGTATCCAAGCCTGAGAAACACCATTGAATGAGTTTTCTTATTCTACTTAGGGTGAACAGACACTAACCCTCCCTAATCTTTTCTAGAAGGAAATGTATTCTTTTTGAGTAGGAGATTCTGAAAAGGATATATAACTGCAGTGAACAGCTTTGGTTTTGATGTACAAATGTGGATTTTGTCTTACCTTTACTCGAACTTCCTTTGCTTTTGGTGGGGCCACTTCTATCTCCTCAATGTTCATTGGGGCCCCAGGCCTCCAGAGCACAGCAGCTTTGCATCTGATCACCTGGTATAGCAGATGAGGGGAGAAAGGGGGACTTAGTAGGTCTGAAAGGTGGGAGATGCTTATATTAGTCATCACTAGAAAGTACTTAATTCGACTATACTCAAGAAAAAAGAAGAATGGGAAAAATCTAAATATACTGAAATTGTGGCTCTTACACAAAAATAGTTTTTCTTATGCTTTTAGCCTCTATATTTAAGTTTGTCTAACAAATAGCACACATTTATAGGAAGGCACGCACATAAAATGATGGATAGTTCTATCTATCTATCTATCTATCTATCTATCTATCTATCTATCTATCTATCATCTATCTCTATTTCTCTAAAACACAGTCTTGCTATGTGGCCCAGGCTGTCCTTGAGCTTGTGATCCTCCTGCCTCCACCCCCCTGAGCTGCCATTACAGGCACATGCCACCACTCCTGGTTAGATGCCATGCATTTGCAATTATTATGAGTGAAACTGCACATTGGTTACCCCAGGTTTGTGACGCTATTACAGTTACTTATGATCCCAGGCACGGCGGATCTTGGAGTGAAACAGTGAGTTCTGGAGCAAGAGTGGAGACCATCTGGTGGTGGTGGTGAATAGATGGTGACGTAATCATTGGAGATTGCTGGGAGAGATTGCCGATGCCAAGGCAGTTCCAAGGGTTCTGCTATTAGCCCATCATCCTTATCCATTTTTATGTATTCAGCCACTACTCTGATGTAGGCGACTTGTACAAACTGTATCTATGGGGCAGATTTCTCCCAAAGATTTAGACAATCATTTATATGCTGTTTGAATGTCTTCCATGTACTGTAAACACAACAGGTTAATATACAAACAATCCATTCTTTCTCACATCTGTACCCTACAGGACAGAGTACACAACTGGCTTTCCCTGTTTCAAACATGAAATCCAGCGACTCATCTAAGACAGAAATCTGGGAAGTAGCCTTAATTTCTCTCTGTCCTTTATTGTCCACAATGGAATCTGTGCCCTCCCCTCCTTTCTTGCTACCCCTGCGTGGTCTGGACCCTGACATTGCCTTTCATAGGAACCACTGGAAAAGCATTCTGCTCCACTGGCTGCTGTCATCATCCACAGATGCACCCTCTGTATCACTGCACTATCATCTCCCAGGCTAATGCCTTAGAAGTCATTCTTCTGCCAGTTGCTTACAGCATCCATTGACATCAGTCTTCCTGTCTCTCTGCAGAGCTATTTCCTGTCACTTTCTGCCTAAGCCTGTCTTCTTGGAGAGGATCAAATGGGAGGTCTTTTAGCTTGTATACTTTCCCTATGGTTTCACTTGATGACAAAGTTTTGTCCTCTATTACCTGGTGAGTCTCTATTTCTCAGGTAGATTTCTCCCCCAGTGCCACCTGTTCTGGGAAGCCAGCGTAGGGCTGGAACTTTCTTGAGCTGCCATCTTCCAGATCTCCTTTTGCATTTCTTGAACCCTTTTAGCCAACTATCTGTGCCTGTGAGGAATCCTTAGGAAGGGCTCTGTCTGTGAATGGGAAAATCTGAAATAGAGTTTGTATGCTACTTACTGTCGTGATGAAAAACCAAGAAGGGACAACAGGGAAGAGAAAGGGGAAGATGTTACGGTCACGTGTCCTGCAGGAACCTAGGAAACTGACATAACCATGGCAGGACACACAGGGAGAGATGACGCCTACCTTGCCTGCAGTGCTCATGGTGGCTTTCCTCTGTTCTGGTTGTAGATGGGACTATCTGGTGCCAGGAGGTTCTAGTGGCAATATTTTCACTGTGGAAACAGTGAGAGTGGCAGCTCAAGGGTCTGGGATCTGATCTTTCTGTATAGTCAAGTCAGATAATTATTGAAAGACCCTCGAGGTGAGGAGTCTCCCCAATCCAGCCGGTCCCCCAAGAACTCAATGTCCAGTCCAGTTGATGCAATGAGCAAGAGGCTTTAATGAACGGGAAGCATTTGTACAAATGGGCCCTCTCAGCATGCAGCCTAGAGAGAAGCCCCGTTCCCCAGGCACAGGCATTTTTTAAAGGCAAAACCCACAAGCTTTAGGGAGGGGTTGTGATTCTCCAGGTCCATGCCTAAGACAGTGGTCTTTGTTTTTCAAGGACTTATTTATCATTTTTTGACTCATTGTCGGTTAGTTCCCTTAATAGGCTCCTCTGGGGAGGGCAGCCATCTGGAAATTCTTGGTGCTCTAGCTATCTTATGGCCTTGTAAGGGAGATGCCAGGAACTGAGTCATGGGGCCTTGGTCAGCAAGTCTCTGGGTCAGGAGCAATTCTTCCTGCAAGGGGGGGGTAGGTGGGTAGGTAGCAGAGTCGAATCTGTTTCCTTGCTAATTTTTAAATCTTTCAATTATTAAACCATATCCTGTCAAATCTCAGGAAATATGTACTTTCTTGTTACTTGAAGGAGATTCCTGTGAACTTATGTGGTAGGTTCCCTCAGGCAAAGAGCACAAAAGGTGAAATTGAATAGTCTCCCTCACTTAACAAGGATGGTCTCTTTTTAGTATCTAGTCTGATGAGCTTTTAACTTGCATTTTGAAATGTTCAGGTTTTGAAATTCTGCATCTTTTTGTTTTCAAATGTAGAGACAGTTACCCTCCCTCAAGACAAGCATCCTTGGATTTATGAACACAGTTGCAGTTGGGTATTGGGATGACTAGACAGTTTCTCTAGCAGTTTTAGGTGGACCCTCAGAGGAAATAAACCATCCTGTGTAAGGGGCCTAAAGACTAGGGTCTTGTAGTGAAAAGCACATCTTTGTGTACACTGATAGTTTTGATTGAGATCCAAGGATCTTCATGAAGCCTGGAGATGAACACATTGCCAATAAGAGGCTACACAGTCTTTTTTCTCTCCTAACTGTGTGACTATATGATTTTCCTTAGTTATGTTTTTAATACGGAAGGTTATATTGATTATTACTTAATTGTATTTGTTGCATGCTTAAAACAAAACCTACTTGGATTAATTTCTTTTATACAAAAAGGACTATGAATAGCTCTATAATATTGTTGAATCTACTTTGCTCATATTTGGCTAAGCATTTTTGATTTGAGTTTACAGTCATGAGAGATACTTGTGTTGCTTGTCTTTATCATTTTTGCTTTATTATGTGTTTGGTTTTGGTGTCCTGGTAATATTGATTCTATGGGGAAAAAACAAAAGAGGACATAGCTAATATCCACCTCTTGAGTTTTAAACATTGAAACAAAAACTGTAATCTAGAATTGATTGATGTCTTTCTTAACTGACAGACACAACATACCTGATCCAAGACCACTAGAAAGTAACATTTTTTGGGAGGCTCTTCTGGGACTTTTTTTCCTAAGGCCCACTTGTTGGGAGCCAAATCTCAGGGCTTGGCATGAGATCCTAGGCCATTCTTGGCCGGCCACATAGTTGTATATTAAACTTTACATAGCAGCTCCTTAGAACCTCAGCTTAAGAAAAGAAACAACTCAACCCAGTCCTCCACCCACAGGCTCAGTCACCTAGGCAACCAACCCTTCCTGGACCTCTTACTCATGAATTCTTTACCCTGCCAAACATCCTCTTTGTGGCTTTCTAATATCCTGCCTACAGTAACACCTGGTGCACAAACAACCCATTCTGCCCCTCCCCATATCCTGCTCTACTGACTATATAAGCTAGCCTGAGAAAAGTAAAGTTTGCCACTTGATCAGAATCCTGTCTTGTGGTCGTTCTTTCTGCGTCTCTTGTCCCCATTCCCTATCCCTGACTCTCTTGCCCCAGGTTGACACCCTGCAGGTTGGGACACCCACTGACTCATAAATGTGATTATAAATCAGACCAAACCCTGAAAGGATAGGAAGGTATGACTGTTTAGTTGCTGGCTCCTTCCCCCCATCCTGGAATGGGGCTGGTAATTTACCTCCTTCTCTCTAACAAGAAGTATCCCCTCCAGTCTTTTGACTCTTAGTTTCTGTGTTCTCCAAGAAGCCAGTTAAACAGTTTGGTGACCAGAGACCTGTGAACTTATATTAAAACTGCACTACTAACATAGGGCCTAGAATTTTTCTTTTTAAAGCAGGTTTATTTCCCATCCTTGTCTCTTCTGCAGCCTCGACTGTGAGACCTGCTAACTACTGTTTGAACTAATACTAGATTATGGTTAAATTTCCTTTGCCTCCGTCTTTAGTAACTGTATAAGAGAGATCTAATATGATTATATGTACTCTGACAGCTATGTAGGACCCTGCTGCTAGTCACTGAGACCATGCAATTCCATCCTCTATTTCTTTGTTTTGCTATTTGGGGTCTAACTGTGGAGCTCATAGGTACCATCTCTTCTCATTTCCATGCTAACCTAACTAAAATGCCTTTTAAAAGAAAAGTCATAGCCCACAGTTCATTTGTGAGATATGTGGATCTCACAGGGACTTGTGCCTGATGGGAGTTGGGTTCTTCATACCAGAGACTCAAAGGTCATCTGATCAGAAAGCAAGCATTGTTTGCTGCTATTTTGGCTGGTGACCTCATCCAGATAGAAGCAACAATGTAACTTGACCTCATCTTTGCTAATGTTACCATAAGAAGGCAAATGCTATGTGACTTCATTACCATGTTGGTTAATGTAACCACATGGCCTAAACCAAAGTGGCTATACCTATAAAACTTCCTGGTACCACTGAGCCCTCTGGTAATCATAGTATCTTTTTTTTTCTAATTTAAAAAATTTTTATTTTGTATTAGACTAAGGATGTAATGCTTATAAGGTGGTTTATTGTTCTTTTTTAATTTTGAAACATTGTTTTGTATGATATATTTACTGGTTTTTAGAGGAGACCCAGGAGTTTCCCCATCTACATGCTTTCAACAATGGCTTCGTATAAAGGGTTAAATATTGGTTCAGTACAGACTCCCAAAAGGTCCTCAAGAGATTAGCTGTCAGATGCTAGACAAGCACTGCCAATGGGCAGCTGCTGTGGCCAAGGCAGGACCAATCAGTCAACTTGGAAAGAAAGGTAGAGGCATAGGGTATGCTGGGTCTTAGTTGTTGCTCTTTGTGCCTGCTGTCTCCAGGCCCATTTGCCTCCGAGTTAGAATGTCCTTCCAACCTCAATCCTCCTTTGTTTCTCCCATGTTTGTTTTTGTTTCAGCCCTATGGAATTCTGGGTACCCTAGTTCTTACTTTTGCCTTCCAGTTATAGTAACAGAGGAAGGAAAAAGAAACAACTTAATGCTGTCCCCTTCTGAGTTCTAAATGCCTTTGTTTTGCTTTCTCTGTTTACTATCCTCTGCATTCCAGGGACTTAAACCCATTTATATGTGATGAATTAACCTTGAGTGCTTATTATGCTTGCTTCCTGTCTGAATTTTAAAAACACATAATATGGCTTTACAGATTAAGAAAACAGGAGTCAAAGACACTGAAAGGCAGAACATCTGAATTCCTTTTTATCTCACTTGGAATAATATATACCTTTCATCTCCTCCTTTGTTATGATCTAGACCTCTCTCTCTCTCTCTCTCTCTCTCTCTTGTTTTTTGAGGCAAGGTTTCTCTGTGTAGCTTTGGAGCCTATCCTGGCACTCACTCTGGAGACCAGGCTGGCCTCGAACTCCCAAGTGCTGGTCTAGACATCTTGATTAGGTTCACTTTCTCTGCCTGTTAAAGAATTAAAAGGCAGGAAAAGTCTTGAGTCTGACAGGTTGCAGCAGAAAACTCTTGAACACAGAAAATGGGAGCAGATAGAATGAGCAGTTGAAGGAAGATGCAGAGAAAAAGACCTGTAAAGGAGGGAGCACTCAGGAGTCCCCAAATTCAGCCTCCTCTCCAGGGCTGGGGGGTTTTAAGTCTCTGAAGAGTCTTCCTCCCCAATTAAGGGTTGTTCAATTAGAAGAAAGATGGAATGGTGGATTGGCCCCCCACTGTTGTGTATCATTTCCTGCCCTAGCCTAGAACTTGTTGAACTAGTTCATGAACATGCCTAATATTTTTGTCTCCGGTCAGGAAGGTGAGGAAAAGCCAGGCATCTTGGAAGTTCACCATTTTGTTACCTAGTCCTAATTCCTTTCCCTATACGTCTGTCTACCAGGGAACCTGATTCCTAGTACTCCCCTCCCCAGGTCACCCTAAATACTGTAGGAATTTTGGAGTGCCAACTACTCTTAACTGTTTTGAGCTGACAAAAGGTTTGATAAGGAAGGGGCAGCAGTCAGAGTGCCTTAAGGAGGGGTTGATCTAAGGGGCCAAGGTAATGCTTAGGTGATATCTAAGATTCACAATATAATAGCCATTTGATGGTAGCAGGTATTTTAGGAGTGCCATACAATTGAGGTAGCACGGGTAACATACAACAAAGGAGACTGCTAGTAGTACTGTAATTCTACTAAAAGTGTAGTTAGAAAAATAGTTGGGGAAGCTTTGAGAAAGAGAGCAGACAAGAAAACCATTGAAAGAATGCTTGGCAGGCTTTGTCATAGGAATCAATGAGATTGAAGCTTTTTTGCTGTCACCATGGTCCACCCACCCTAAGTTGTATATCATGGAGGAGGCCACTTGTCCTGCTCAAGAGTTCAAGGGTACTTTTATCAGCCAATTTAAGATCAGAAGTCAGCCACTGAGTTTCTTTTACTGTATCCTCATGAGGAAGAGACAAAGTTAATGAAGAAACATTTTCCACATTATAATTAACCCAAGTCCTTTTTAGTGTGGCAAAACTAAGTGTGTAG